AAGAGCGTCCCGGTCCCCTCCCCTCTGGGCCTTGGCTCTCGCTTCACCACACTTTTGACTCTTGCCTCCTATAAATCAGTCCTTCCAGCCCTTTCATCGGTTTTATTGCTCTGCTCTGAATAACACCAATAAAAGATGCAGAGGAGCAGAACAGAACGGACAGATCAGAAAGAGCCGTTGTCGCCGCCGTGCCCCCTCCCGCGCCGCGCAACGAGGCTCTCTTGGCTCCGCGTTCGGTGCGTCACGCTTAGGGACGAACGGAAAGCTGCAAACCCACCCAAGAAGGATGCTCAGGAATCACACCCGAGCCCGGGGTGCAAAAAGGGGCCTGAAAAACTCAGAGCCGTCTCCGAATTGCTGGTTCCTACCCCGGGGCGGTACGTTGTACGGAAAGGGCAAGCTCACAAACTTCACGGCTTCTTCTGGCTTCCTCGCCGGAGTCCTGCTGTCGTTCCTCGGGTCCCAGCCGTTCTCTGCACAAGAGCACCGAGAGATACCAGTGCCCTTTAAATGCTAATATCTCATGGCTTTTTTTTTTTTTTAAGCTAATATCTCCTGGCTTCTAGACGAATCCAGGAATCGGGGAGTGAAGCAAGGCTTCTTTGATGGTCCCTTTCCCCCGCTCCGGACACGGAGGGAGCTGAAATCTCTTCTGAGAGCCTGTTCCCTGCGCACAACCATCTCCTCATGTTCTCTCCCTTTCTCTCCAGCCCTCCTGCTTTGGGCTTTGCCCTGCTAGAGTTTAAAAAAAAAAAAAAAAAAGGCAAAAAAAACCCCAACCAACCCCGAAGTAGATGGGGATTGATTCAGCAAGACTGGCTGCGTTTCCTAAAACTGTGCCTCCGCGTGGCCCGCTCGGAAAAACCCGGTGTTTGCCCGTGCAGGGGAGGGCTGAGAGGACGGCGAGGATAATAACCCCCCCGCCGGCCCCTCGCCCCCTGTCTTGAATATTCAGCATGAGAGAAGCGAGGAGAAGAATCCTGCCTCAAATAAGCAATTAATTGAAATTTAATAAGAATGGATATTGTAGATTATTAAATAATAATTGATTTGTTAGATAAGAATTTCTCCGGGCTTAGGCGGCACGCAAGAGAGAAATCTAGTTGCTGGTAATTAACTGCAGAACGGGAAAATACAGATAAAAGGGCGCTAAATACTTTCTTTTGGGATGAATTGTATTTTAACCCTCGCTGGAGGCTTCTGGAAGGAACGGAGGGCTCTCGCTGGGAGGTTTTTCCGTCTGGCTGCGGAAGCCGGGGGCCCCGTACCGCCCGTTCCCGTAGTAGCCCGCGGCAGCCGCACCGCTAAGCGTGCGGGCAGGACAGGCGAGGGCAGAAGCGGGGCAGATGCACAGAGGTGGAAAATAACGTTTTTCGGGGCCAGTCCGGACCCCACGTGATCCCGTCTCCAACACGGCAGACTGCGCCGTCTCTATCCATTAGTTAGATAGCACTACGTAGGCACGAAAATAAAAAGGTCAAGCCTGTTTCTTGTTTACTCTGCCGTCCTTTTACACCGTAGCTTTCAAGCGGCCTTCAGTTAGATACAAACATCGCAATAAAACGGCCTTTTACTAGATGAGGGTTACAGGAAAAATCTGATGCAAACCTCTATCCCGAGCGTATTCCCCGCAGGTTCTCTCCCGGTTTTTAATCCCCTCGCGGCTACGAGGTCGGTGCCTGCGTCTGTCCAGTTTGTTTTCGCCAAGGTCTCGTTGCAGTGAGCAGGGCGTGGAAACGGTGTGTTTTGGGGAGGGTTTTGGTGCTGGAAATGGAAACCCGGTGCCATCGTTGCAGCTGCTTCTCTGCGTGCCACGGAAGTGAAAACCCTATTTCACCTGCAGCCTCCTCCGCGAGATACCTTGCAGACAGACAGGAGCAATGGACCTCCCTTTACAGCTTAGCTTTAAAACGGCCTTAAGTCAGGTACAAAACTCAAAATAAAATGGCTTCTTTCTCTAGCTTGTGGCTGCCCTTACCTTACTGTGCAAGAAGGGCAGGAGAGGGCTCCCGTTAGAGGTGGCAGGAGAGGGCTCCCGTTAGAGGCACTGCACCTTGAGGGGCTGTAGAAGATAAATTATAGCCTGGGTTCCTCAAGTTGGCCCCTGTCTCCGTCTCCCTTCCAATCCCGTCTTGAGCCCTTTGCCCCAAGCTTAATGTTCATTGGCTTTTCCCATCTTTTCGGAGAGGCGCAGCCTGCTACTTTAACTGAGGTGTGAGGCAGGTGGGTGACGAGCGAGGGAGAAGCCGGATCAGCTACCGTCTTCCCTCTCCCGTCTCTCTTTCGCCCCAGGAACCACCTGAGGATGGAGCTGGGTGGCTCCTCGGGGAGGCGGTGGGGTGCCGAGGTAGAGCAGCAGCGCGGGAGGGCTGCTCGGGGTCAGCAGGGTGGTGTGGTTACTGCCGCGGAGGAAAAGCGCTCGGCTCGTACCGTCTTTCACGCCGTGAAACCACGGCAGTCTGCAGCAGACCCAAAGGCACGTGGCTGCTTCTGGGTTTCTGGCTCCAGGTTGAGCGTCGTATGGGGTCTCTCGTGTCAGATCTGGGTGAGCCCCCGGTGCAGCCTGCCCCCGCTCTGTTGGTTATTAATAGTCTCTTCTCTGCCTCTTTTTATGGAACTTGTGGGAATTTCATGTCTTTGAGACCTCTATGTCGAATATGGTTGAAATGGCCATCAGGTCCATTAGGTGCCAACTTACTGAGGGAAGAGAAACCACACAGACAGACGGGCACGGGCAAAGCCGTCCCGTAAACCTCACCTCTTTGGGGAGCTGGACAGAGCTGGTTTGACTTTGTTCCTAGGACCTTCTCTTCTGTGTATTTAACCCAAAGCACGCGCGAGCCAAGCGTGGACATCCCTACGTGTGCAACGCATGTCTCATCACGCGCCTGACCCCCACGCTCTCCCCGGGACCACCTCGTCCTGCCACCCGTCCTCTGGGAGCAGTAGCCTTGAAATCAGCTTGGGAGCTCTTGTTTCACGAGGGCCGAGCGTGCAGGGGAGAATTCACCCCATCCTTTTTGTCTTGCAGATGACTACAAGTCCGAGCTGAGAGAGCAGTTGCCTTTGATCGCGGGGTCCGCTGCCGCCGGCGTGGTCTTCATCGTCTCGCTGGTGGCCATTTCGATCGTGTGCAGCAGGTGCCTGTTTCACGCTCGGGCTCGAGTTTCTCGGGCCGTGGGGAGG